CTGTTGTTTCTGTTGTTATTGTAACGACACAAGACTTGCCCAAGCTTCCCACAAGTCGAGGACAAACCTACCACAATTCTTGCACAAGTATCCAACAAGTCCCAACTGATACATAGAATAATGTGCTCAGATACTTGTGCAAGTATTGGTGCCGACAGCCGAGAAGCTTATAGAGCAAATAAGGCTGTTAAGAATACAACTATTAAGAATGGAGCTATTAAGAGAAAAGCTACTAATAATGAGCTTGGTAGGAATGGAACTATCAAGAATAGATATTTTAAGAATGAAGTTATTAAGGTTGGAGGTGTTGAGAAAAAAGCTACGAAGAATTAGGTTGTTAAGGGTAGAGCTATTAAGAATGGAGCTACTAAAAATGAGGTTATTAAGAATGGAGCTATAGTGTTCTGTAGAGCAAATATGTCTACTACAAAAAACATTTCGTTTTCCGTAGTTTTCCAGGAAATTCGGGGACCTGTCAGTCTATTTATTCCTGTAATCATCCGTTCAATACCTGCCTAAATAAATGCAATTTTAATTTCTCCAAACTTTCTTAACTCACCCTGAAAATGCCCTCTCTATTATTACTCCCATTTTTGGACCTTCTCCTTTTCAATTAGTGACACCAACATGACTTAACGACTCTGGAAACATGCAATTCTCCTTCTAAACGTCTTCTTCTTCTCCAGAGAGTATTCACTGCTTCCAACGCTCTTCTTATAACCTCCTACGTGACTTCATATATCATAAACCGAAACTCGACAGGACATTATCTGATAAAATGATATCATTTTGTTTTTGGAAGGGGAAACTCTCATTCTCTATGGATTTCTATTACCGGAAATTGTGTTTGGGTTCAACTTTCGCCCCCATGATTGATGGGACTTTTTAGGAAGAAGTAATTTATAGTTTGTCTAGTCTGGACTGACTTTGGTTTATTCTGAGAAATGTCTTTATTTTCGTATGGCAGTAGATCAACAGTTTCAAAATTCGTCAAAGGAAGGTTTTGGAATGAAAAGTAGTTAGATCTGAAAAGCCCATTAGATTAGTCTTCGAAATTCTAAAACTGCACCAAGTGAAAAACTTGGAAAATTTTAGAGCAAATTGATTACTGTAACCTTTTTTTTTTCTTCCCGCATCTCAAATTTGGTAACTTTCCATTATTTTCTCAAATAATCAGGAAACCTCTGAAATTCACATTTTTAGCTCAAACGGATTCTTTTTTTAATCTTCTATAATCAAATATGAACTTGAGAAAGAAAAATGCTTCAAAATGAGTCTAAACACAACTATGCTAGCGAAAATTTGAAAATTTGAGGTTGTCGTGGTGGGACCCAATTTTTTGGCATTTTTTTAGATTATCCAATGTTTATGCTTATTTCATTTTGAATCCCGTTTAAAACTAAATCGAATGGTAGTAGTTTCAATGTTCTAGGATCAAAGCTAACCGAGTTACGATGGTTTTACTACAATTTAAAAAATCGGAGGCGGGACTGATTTTTGAAGAAATTGATTATTTTTTTAACCAAACCTGTGAAAGTTATAAAATTTCTTTTAAAACTTTTGGCTAAAAATATCTGATATTTCGAATTTCAAGTCCCTTTGTTTTTTTTTTCTTCGAATCCAGCTCGCATTTTTTCACAAAACCCAAGTTTCTGCCTCTAGAAAAAGGGACCGTAAACTATTTCAAACATTTTGAAATTTTCAGAATACACTGAACAGAAATAGATCTTCATTTTATCAGTTGATCACTTTTTCTTACAAATGCGCCCTACGGAGATATTAGGTCGTACAAGGCCCTGGCTAGATTAACGTGTTTCCTCTAATAGAAGCCCATCCAATACATGAACTTTGAGCTCAATTATCTCGCTTCCAGTGAGAGATATCTAACATCTGTCAACTGATAAATTATTTCTGATAATGTCATGAACATTTTATCAGTTGATAAAATTTTGATACCTCTTATAGCAACCGAGATAATTGAGCTCAAAATTCTTCTATAGGATCGGCTTCTATTAGAGCATTTACAGTATTGTGGGCAGATGGAAATTCATTAAAGATCCTTTTCTTGAATAATATTCCATTCCCGGTAGCTTCAACCTCTTCACAATCTTCTTATCATTCTCTTCTTCTTCTTCTATTTCACCACCTCCATCTTCTCCTTCTTCCTCCATCTCCCAAAAAAAACACAAGATTGTATAGTAGTGGTTTGGTTGGTGGTGTCATCAATTCCGAAACATGTCAACCTCATCTCGTCCTCTTCTAACCTCTTCTCTTCCAGAAGCGAAAAAGGGTACAATTAGGTCTGTGTCGTGTGGTGGTGACACCAAATGAGCATCTCAATGGGCGCTTCTTCTTGAAGATGTGCTCCTCTCCAGATGAGGTACCATGACGTGGATAGATGGTTTTTCATATAGTGAAGTGGTGAAAAAAAAAGAGATGGATCACCCCTTGCAGAGAGGCAATTTAAAAATTTTGAAATTGGCTTTTCGGCGCCTCCAAAATAAAAGAAAATGAGAGGGGGATACACATAAGGATACGGTAATGGGGTGTAAATCGTGGGTGGTTTAGAGCAAACATTGTTTTATGGGGGGTTTTTCGAAGAAAAAAAAATGGAACATGTATGGGATTTTGATGAAATTTCTAGTTCTTGGAATGAAAATCAATTTTGATATTTTCCAAAAATTCTAAAATATGGTCCCAATTTTTTCTCGGAATTCCTATTGTAATAAAATGGAATTTTTCACTAACTTTAGCTAAAAGAGACAATTTTGGGTCATCTGAAATTTTGATCAAATTTTACTGAAACATCTGAAATTATAGCTCTTTTAACTTTCGAGTCAAACATCTCCAATTTTGTAAAAAAAAATCTTCATAAGATTCTGAACTTTTTGTCCAAAAATTCCTTAATTTCAATCCGAAACTTCCTGAATCCTTCAAAGTTTTTTTTCTATTTTTCCCAGAAAAATTGAGCTTATTAAGTTTTGCAAAAAAGAGGTCATGAGAATAGATTTCGGTTTTTTTTTTCGCAATGACGTCCAAACGTTTTCATTCCGGTTGAATTTCCATGGATTTCCGGAATACCTGAAAATATTTTTTTGTGATTTTGCACAAAAAAATTTTTTGTTAAAAGAAAATGGAACCACAGAAATAAAAAAAAATCTAATTTTTTTCAAAAGAGCGAATTTCCATAAGCTCCTTCTCAAATTTATTAGAGAGACCACACACACAGTAGGTCAAAAAGCAATGGTTTTCGAATTTTAGAGAAAAAATCTGGGTAGATAAAAAGATACTTGTTTTCAAACCTTTTTCGATCATCAAAACATAGCTCCCTTTCTAGATTACAAAAAGTTGAAGCTTTTGAATCCAATTCTATCTTTTAACTACAAAAGATGAATCTGAAAAAGGCTATTCCGAGAAAAAACACAGGGACTGGGCTACAAAAAAAGGAAGTGGGTGGCTTTGAAACAAAATAATGAGGCAGATTACTAGAGAATACTTAAGCCAGTAGATGGACTTTGGAAAAAAATGAGAAGAGTCGAATTGCAGAAAAAAGAAGGAGACGAAGGTGTCAGATTCATTGTTTTTCAATTAATTAACATGAGAAAAAAAATCCGAAAGATGAACTTTGTGTAGTGACACAGAGATCAGTTTAGCTTTTTTTCAGAAAATTCGGAATTTTAAAAATTCAATTATCAATTTATTGACCTCATTTTTCATAAAATATTTTTGTATTTTCAGCATAGGAACACCCGAAATTGAATATGCGGATTTGGCGATTTTCAAAAAAAAAAATCCAAATTTGGATCACTTAAAAACAAGTTCAAAACTTTCCAATTTTCCTGAAACTTCTAGGAGACATTAATCAAAAATTGGGCTTCATTTTTGTAATTGGAAACGTTTTTGTAAATTTTTTTTGTAAATCCTGAGGAGAAATGCCATGTGGAAGAGACCTTTCTCCAGCGCAGACCTTGGAAAGGAAGGATCTCTTAAATGTGGCATAACTCTCCAGGCTGAAATTTTAGTAAAAAGTTGTCAACTACAAAATTAAAGGCCCATATTTGTTTAATACACTCTTTCATAAACACTTTCAGATCAATCGGAAAATTTTGAATTTTTCAAGCGAAAATAGAAAATAGCCATAAATCTCCTACTTCGCCCAGATATCAATTTTTATCAAAAAGTTGACACCTAGAAAAGATAAATCATTTTTTCTAGAAATATTGAACAATTTTGACTTTCTATTAGGAAGCTTCAAAGCTGTATAGCTAGCTTTTTGAACCCTCGATGCTTAGCTCCTCAAATATATGCATTCCTTCTACCCTTTCTAGAACTTTCTTCATTTTTTTTTTATTAAATTGAGTGTGTATTCAATATCCTTTCAGCCAGAAGTTCTTTATTACCCATTCCAGAGTCCACATCTTCTCCTTCAAGATCAACCCACTTTACCGTGATTACTTTTCTCTCTCTCTCTCTCTCTCTCTCTCTCTCTCTCTCTCTCTCTCTCTCTCTCTCTTTCTCTCTCTCTCTTTCTCACTCACTCACTTCCTTCGCAAACGTCATTGCACTAAAAGTGGGCGGAGCCCTATACGGAGCCTAAGCTCCGCCCCCTCTCGTTTTCATGATGGAGCAGTTTGACAGCTCCACCACTTCATTTCTAGAACGAGAGCAGCAGCTCCTTAAATCTCTTTCGCTTAATTGCCTTTTTTCTTCTTTTCTGTCGATTTTGACAGGATCATTTAGAGCCTGAAAAATGAAAAATGTATGAGTCATATATCACTTTTTTCTCGATTTCTTTTTCCGCTGCTCTTTTTTTCAGGAACGGAAATTATGAGGCAAAAATAAAACGAAAAAATTGACTCATTGTTTTCCTTATTCCATCATTTTTAGCTTTCTCTTTTTCCATTATCTCGATTTCTGAACAATGAAAAAACTTTTGAATTTCAAAAATTGTTGTTTTTTCTTCTTGAGGAACTTTCAAATTCCTGAAACTCTGATTTTCCGCGTTTCCCAGTGTCCGGATGTCCTGAATTATTAGACAGACAGATGAAAAAAGATCCCAATTCCTGAACCCTTTGTCAATTCTCGAACCCTTTGTCTCCTATAATTCCCAGAGACTTCCTTGTTATTCAAACCGCCAGAAGGTCTTCAGGGAACACTTATTACTTTATTATTATTATTATTCCTTCATCAGATTCTCAGTAGCTCCGCCCCTTTTTTTGTGTTTAGAGGAGCACCCTGCTCGACGACAGTTTTCCTCTCAAAAAAAAGGAAATTGAATCTTCTTGGGTGGTGTGTGTAACATCTCACCACCCACTTGACGTCTTCTGAATTCCTAAAGAGATGGAAAATCAAATTGAAAATAGAACCCACGATTCTTTAGACAACAATAGAGCGTCTGTCTGTCTGAGTATCGGTTTGTACTGAAAACTTCCAAACCGCTCTATTATTTCCACCCCACTTGAGTTGTGATGTCCTCCTTTTTTCCGCTTTCCAAGATTTAAGCATTTAGGTTTACTAGACATATTTGGTACCATTTTGTAGATCTCGTCTAGTTCTTTATTTTAGAATTTAAACAATCTGGAACTGATGAATTTTCAGCGATATTAGGCTTGCTAGCCGTCGATGGGTCGATTCGAGCCACCTATATGTCCAAGCTAGCCAAGTTCAGTATCATTTTGTAGAGCTTTTCAAGTGCTACATTTTAAAATTTGAACCATCCGAAAATGTTAAACTTGAAGAGAGTGACGTCGCCTTGAATCTCACAATATAGATCATACATTCACACGAAACCTTCCCTAATTCAATTCAAAACTTTCCCACGACATTACGAATCTCCTGGATATCTAAAAAGCTCTGAAAAAAGCGGAGAACTGAAAATTCTAGAATCCAAAGAAACAACAACAATGTGACGGGTGCTATAATTATTTTGACTCCATTTCTTTTCTCTTTTCCCATTTCTCCAGAACTTTCTATTATTCACTTCTTCCAGGATAATTCAAAAATGAACCGTTCCGTGATCTGTGTTGTGTTGTTGGTGTCATTGGTATCGGCTCAGGTCTTCGATTTGGATGGACAGTTGGCTGCACTCGAGCAGCAAGACGGTGCTCTTCTCATTGAGCCAGTAAGTAGTAAATGTGCTCTATTGGGATCTCAGTCCAGTGGAGCGCTGTTACTAACTTCCGGGGGTTCAGGGGTCAAGGTCTAAAGGTGTAGGGGTCTAGAGGTCCCGGTTTGAAGGTCTAAAGCTTTAGGTCTAGGGGTACAAGGGTCCAGGGGTCTAGCTTTAGTGGTCTAGAGGCCTAGGGCTAGGTCTAGAGATCCTAGAGAGTTACTGTTCTCTAATGGGATGTAGAATGAGATGCGGAGGAAGATTTGAAATTTTTAGTGTGTTCCATCTTCGCTGGATAGTTCTTCTAACAGAGGTCCTAGCTACCCCAAATCATAACTCTGCCCAAACTTGAAATTTCTGTTTGAACCAAAAACTGAAATTTAGAACTTGCTGAGATCTACAAATTCATATCCAATTCGACTATCTTGGAACTTTGCATCATTCAAATTTTAGATAATTTCAAGCTTCACATTTTACTTTTTGATTCATACAAAAATCCCAAGTTTGAGCTGAGCTATGCTCCAGACAGCTATGTAGCTTGTTTGTGACGCAGGTGGTAACATTCTAGGGGACCCTACAGAACTTAAATAATGGATTGGGACCCCAAAAGATGTTTTTCGAACATCAGGATTCCTGAACAACCAATTATTAAATGTAGCTGACTACGCTTTCTCTGGTTTTCGGAGGGGAGAACCTCTTCTAGTAGTACCCTTAAGCATATCCAATTTCCTCTGGGTCACAATTTTTTTGTGTTACCAATTAAAAATTCCATTCTTTTTCCAGCAAGTCAAACGCTCGCCATCGGCCAAATGGATGCGATTTGGAAAGCGGTCTCCATCGGCCAAGTGGATGAGGTGAGGGAGAAGGCGTGGGAAACAAATTGACATGGGGACAATATACGCGTTTTATGATGTCAATTCTTGTAAATGGATATGTTTGGTGGAGAACATGGAAGAGGAAATGGACACCTTTTTTGTGGTGTAGATATAGACTTTTAAAGATCGGCGACATGGCCCAGAAATGGCAGGTGTGGAACGTTCAGGTCACTACACTTTGAGCTCATTTATCTCAATTTCTTTTGAAGATAACGAAAATGTGTCAATTGAGAAAATGTTTTTCATATTATCACCAACATTTTATCAGTTGACAGATTTTTTATATATTTTACAGGAACCGAGATAACTTAGCTAAAAGTGTACTTATAGTTCTTCTATTAGATCGAAGACGGTATGCTGTTACTTTCAGCTCAATTATCTCAATTTTTCTAAAAGATAACAAAAATTTGTAAACTAATTAAATGTTTTACATAAAATTTCCAATATTTTATTAGTTGAACTCACATCATCCAAAAAAATAATTTTAGCTTGAAAATTTTTATGACCAGCCATTTTCCATGTATATATTGGATCATAAAATGGGTCATGTTGTAAAATTATATAAACTAAACGTGTCAAACAAAAATTTTTGTTTTGGGCAATACATAGGCAAGATACTACTCCCACAAAAGCTACAAGCTACCGTAACCACTATAATAGAAGGCTGCCCTATACTCACACTTTGAGCAAGTTTATCTTGGTTTCTGTAAAAGATATCAAAAAGTTGTCAACTAACAAAATGTTTATCATAATATTACAAATATTTTTGTAGTTGATCACTTTTTGATATCTGTTACAGGAACCGAGATATATGAGCTAAAAGCAACTCACCCAAACATTCCAACATTTTCAACAAAATCCAAAATTTCAGATTCGGAAAGCGCTCCCCATCGGCAAAATGGATGAGATTCGGAAAGCGCAGTGGAGCTGAGGCCATCGCCCCAGAACAGGATTATTAAGTTCTTCTACAGTAACCCACTCTCTTCGTTTTTCCTTTAAAACCTAGAAAACGCCTTCTCCTATTTCTTCTGGCTCTCTTCCTCCTCCCGCAAACAGAACCGTGAAAATAAAAGTGTGTCCCATTTGTTTATGTATTTTAACTCCCAGTTCTTCATCTCTTCATCTCTTTCCTCCTTTTCCACACCCTTTTTAAATATTTGAAATGCTGAATAAATGCGATCCTTGTTAGAGTTTCTGATGTTTCCGAAAAGAAAGCAAAAAATTCGGGGCTACAATGATTCGGGGGTACAAGGGGGTACAACTGAATTAGGGGTACAAAATTGGTGATTCGTGGGTACAAAATTCGGGGGTACAACGATTCGGGGGTACAAACTATCAATGATTCTGGGGTACAACCCATTTCATTTAGGGGTACAACGCTTGTGATTCGGAGTACAATTTTTTTTTGAGGGAGTTTCTGAATTCCTGAATTTCAGAGCTTGAAAATCACAGAATTCTTAGAATTTCACAACTTTGGAATTCCAGTATTTCGGAATCTGAAAATTTCGGAACTTCAAAATCTGAGAATCTGAAAATTTCGGAAAAAAAATCAAAATCCAAAATCTAGGATCTACTCAAGGAGGGAAGGAAGATTCTAAAAGATTTTCAGAGAATTCAAAAGACAATTCCCAATCTTCAATACACTTTCGAACACAGCTTAAACCCTTGACTGACTGAATTATCAGTCAGCCATAGCCGTCGGGGCTCGAAAGTGTAAAGGAAACCAAGAGAAATGTCAAATGAATTCTAAGAAAATCATTCAAAATCTAGGATCTACTCAAGGAGAGAAGGAAGATTCTAAAAGATTTTCAGAGAATTCAAGACAATTCCCAATCTTCAATACACTTTCGAACACAGCTTAAACCCTTGACTGACTGAATTATCAGTCAGCCATAGCCGTCGGGGCTCGAAAGTGTAAAGGAAACCAAGAGAAATGTCAAATGAATTCTAAGAAAATCATTCAAAAT